GCGCATTTTCATTGGTTACTTCGAGCATGATTGTGTACATCGCAAAGTGTTTTTGCATAAGCAGTCTGTTTTGTAAATAGAAAGAATTTCAAGGGATTGTTAAAAAAAGTACTCAAATTACAGATTGTACAAATTTGAGTTTATTAAGTGGAAGAAAATTCCTTGCTCGGAGATTTATGATGTTTATGTACAACTCTGTATACCCGAGTTGTACATAAACATCATAAATCAAAATGTGAATTGTGCAAAGTGACTCACCTGAGAGTGCAGTTTGGAATTTGAAATTAATTTTTAAAAAAGGTATTTTTAAATTGTCAAGTGGCAGGACTTGTCTTATTTTTGTTTTATTTGAGACTAAATGACAATTAAATGAGTTTTTTTTTATCAATGTCTTATGATTCATCACCATTTATATATGTTGCTCTGTGCATGTGCCGAGTTTCAAAAATTTTCGTCACTCGATGGCCGAGATCTTGGGGGGGGGCGGAATCCGCCCCCCCCCCTCAACATTTTCCGTGATAGCCTCTAAAAAAAATTTTTCGCGACCCGAGCTGTTATGACTTTTTAGCCTCGAGCTTTGCCCATCTTTTGATACAAAAAACATAAAAATCGGACCACGGGTTGCCGCGAAGCGAAAAATTTTCCGGCGCTACGCGCCGTGAAAACTGAATTTTCGTATATACGTCGTGTACACAGAGCAAAATTGCCATTCGTACATATGAATAATTAATTAGCCATCATTCCAAAACCCTTTGACCTATAGTCATGAAATTTCTCGGGTATGTTTAGGAAGAGTTGCTCTGTGCATGTGCCGAGTTTCAAAATTTTTCGTCACTCGATGGCCGAGACCTTGGGGGGGGGGGGGGCGGAATCCGCCCCCCCCCCCCCCGGCTGAGAGATGGTCAAAATAACCCGGCCCCTTTAGGGTCAATACAAATCTTTGCTAATTAACACAACGTCCAAACGTTGTGTTTGAAAGGATTGACAACCTCGTGCTCCGTGGGTACGATCTTGCATACGATCGTAACCCCTGGAATTGTGTAATTTAAATATACCAAAATACGACATAATGAGCCAGCTAGTCAAGTTCTCCTCTGGAATCCTGAAGCCCCTCGACGAAAAGGTCGTCCCAACATGACCCTGAAAACATCCATCAAGCTAGAAACTGGTCTGAGCGGTCCATCTCTTTCCAACACTATGCTCGACAGGGACAGTTGGGCCCAACTCATCAAGTCATCATGAAAATGAATGAATGAAGAAGAAAATACGGTATATAGTCGTGTTCCCTAACGTGGCGCACTTCGACGCTTACCCGACTTTCCTCGTGTAGTGTTGCCAAACCTCTTTGTTGACAAACCTCAAATTCATGCAATGAAATACTGGTACTTTTACCTTATCAATGCTTGCTATTTTACCTCCGTGAACAATTTCAGTTTCATAAAATTTAATCCGAAATTCAAAAACGGTGGTGTCCGGAAATTGGGCACAAATTGGCGGAGTGTTCCCTAACGTGGCGCACTTGAATAAATCTTGGAAAATTCCAAATTAACACTTACGAATTCCTGTAAACTTGATAAATTCTGATAAATAATTAATATCTTTACTTACATACCCAGCCAAATGTTTGTCAGAAAATTATTTTCTTATTTTTCAGGGCATTTTCAAAGGGTTCACTTTGCACTTGAAAATAAAATCGGAAAATCACGCCAAAATAGCTTTTCCTTCTAACTTTGTTACAGGTAAATATACTCGCGATTTATGAACAGGACCGTGTAGAACTTGATGAAATTTCACTTTCTGTGAAATTTCAGTTTAAAATTTTGCTCTAGGTAGGCGCTACCGGCGAAAAATCCAAGTGCGCCACGTTAGGGGCCGCGCCACGTTAGGGTACATCAACAATATTATAATTAGGGCTGCAGTTTATCTGTTTTACGTGACGACGCCATCTTCAAAATGTTTAAAGTTGTGATTTTGAAGAATCAATCCTTTCAAACACATTGTTTGGACGTTGTGTTAATTAGCAAAGATTTGTATTAAATGTGCGTACCCCTTTCGTGCCTTTACAACCACAGATACAGGTTTTTTTTTAAAGCTATAGTCCATTATTTGCAGCCATCCGAAAGTAACTGGCGTAATTATTGTTGAAAAACAAACTTGGTTGAAAGATAGTATGGGGATTAAACTCCCTGTGAAATTACTCTTTCTGGGAAGCTTTCATTTTGAAGTAATCAACGAAAGAAGGCATTTCCAACGGTGATTCTTAAGAAGCACCGTAGGAAAATTTAAATTAGTAGTTCGTTTTGTTATTCAGCGCAGCGCGCACAAGTATTGGAACGACGCACACGCGCGCGCAGTTGTTATAATTCGTCGGATCAGTGCGCGACGTCGCGTATAGCTGCAATTCAAAACATTTCAAAACATGATTCAGTAATTTTTGATTTGAAATTGAGATCTTAGAATGCTGTTTTTCTCGGAATGTACAGCTGAAGCTTAGCTGAAACTTCATCAGGTTAGTTGCTCAGTATCCTTCATTAGATTTTGAACTCTTTTGTTGCTTCAAACGAACAAAATGCACAAATTACAAATGATGGACTGAAGCTTTAAAGCGAAAAACGCGGCTGACATAATCCATATCGTACAGGCATCGCGACTTTTGAATCATAATTTTTTTTTCGTACGTGACGTTTTTTTTCGTTACGTGCGAAGCTAAGCACGCGAGCGCTAGTGCATTCATGGGCGCGCCCGGCGTGCTATCTTCGAAATGCCCGCGCAGTACGCTGTGAATAGCCATTCAGCGTCATTTACATCATCATCACAGCCAGGGGTTAGTGTAAGGAACGAGCACGCGCCCCTGGAATCGAGGCTGCAGGATTGATTCTTCAAAATCACAACTTTTAACATTTTAAAGATGTCGTCGGCACGTAAAACGGATAAACTGCAGCCCTAATTATAATGTACCGTATTTCGGTATATTTAAATTACACAATTCCAGGGGTTACGGTCGGACAAGGCATGATGGGAAACAACATGGCGCTGCAAGATCGTACCCACGGGGTACGAGGTTGGTCCAAGATAGGACAGTCCGCGCAAAGCGGTGACCCCCCCCCCCCCCCCCCCCCCCCCCCCCCCCCGTAGAACCGCGCCTGCAACAGAGGGATACCAGATCTGTGAGGACTGAGGATCGGAGTGGTCGATCATTATTTTGTGAGTTGTGTTAATGTGTCATTTACTTTATTGAAATGGACATCTTTTGGTATTGGCCGGCCGCGCCCTCTCTGTTGGTTTATTGTACAACGCTATCACCATTTAGCATAATGGTATGGTCCGCACTGCCACTGAGGCAATATGTCCATTTCTTGAACTGAAAATCGCAATTTTCAGACGTTTAACCCATTAATTTTAAGCCAAAATCTTGTTTCTCCCATACTATGTGGGTTACATACTGCTTTTGTCACTTTTAATGCATTTTGGATGTGTTGACGCTGTGTTGACGCTTTGGAGTGTGTTGACGCTGTGGCCACGTTCGCGCGAGGACTATAGTTGACCAATGGTTAAAGCTATAGTCCATCATTTGCAGCCATCCAAAAAGTAACTGGCGTAATTACTGTTGAAAAACAAACTTGGTTGAAAGATAGTAAGGGAACTAAACTCCCTGTGAAATAATTCTTTCTGGGAAGCTGTCATTTTGAAGTAATCAACGAAAGAAGGCATTTCCAACGGTGATTCTTAAAGCCCGAGTCCATCATTTGCAGCTATCCAAAAAAGTAACTGGCGTAATTATTGTTGAAAAACATACTGGTTGAAAGATAGTAAGGGGACTAAACTCCCTGTGAAATTATCCTTTCTGGCAAGCTCTCATTTTGAAGTAATCAACGAAAGAAGGCATTTCCAACGGTGCTTCTTAAGAAGCACCGTAGGAAAATTTAAATTAGTTGTTCGTTTTGTTATTCGGCGCAGCGCGCACAAGCATTGGAACGACGCACAGGCGTGCGCGGTTGTTATAATTCGTCGGATCAGTGCGCGACATCGCGTAAAGCTGCAATTCAAAACAATTCGAAACATGATTTAGCAACTTTTGATTTTAAATTGAGATCCTAGAATGCTGTTTTTCTCGGAATATGAAGCTGAAGCTGAGCTGAAACTTCATCAAGTAAGTTGTTCAGTATCCTTCATTAGATTTTGAACACTTTTGTTGCTTCAAACGAACAAAATGCACTAATTACAAATGATGGACTATAGCTTTAAGAAGCACCGTAGGAAAATTTAAATTAGTAGTTCGTTTTGTTATTCAGCGCAGCGCGCACAAGTATTGGAACGACGCACACACGCGCGCAGTTGTTATAATTCGTCGGATCAGTGCGCGACGCCGCGTATAGCTGCAATTCAAAACAATTCAAAACATGATTCAGTTATTTTTGATTTGAAATTGAGATCTTAGAATGCTGCTTTTCTCGGAATGTACAGCTGAAACTTAGCTGAAACTTCATCAGGTTAGTTGCTCAGTATCCTTCATTAGATTTTGAACACTTTTGTTGCTTCAAACGAACGAAATGCACTAATTACAAATGATGGACTATCCGCTTCGTTAGTGTGACGTCACCTCCAGCACTTTCTGCACCGTTTGGAACCGGAAGTTAACGCAGTTCGAGCGTTTGCAGCCAATGGGCTTGGTTAACGGTTATGACCGCCAAAACGCTAGTCGACGGTGGTTGACTACGCTAGTCGACTATTTGGAACCAGCCTACTGGGGGGGGGGGTTGCTTCACTGGTAACCAATAGCCACGCGCATTCATAACGCTAGCAGAGAGCCAGGATCCAGAAGTTTTGCGATGACATTTAGTCCAACCTCAACCTCGTACCCAGAGTATCGAGCAGTACGCGCCCACCACTACCTGGAAACACGGTTTGAAATAAAGTACGCACTGGGGACGAGGTTGGTCCAACCTCCAATTTAAGACGTGAGCGTCGGGAATAATTGTCAGGTCTGGGAACCAGACTACCCAGCGTCCTCAGGGCCCGGCGGGGGGTACGAGCATGCGCACAACTACATGAACTACAGGGCCTACAAACATGCGACTTGAGCTAGGTCTAAGAAAGGTTAGATTTTCCCTTTTTCTCCTCGTAATTTATGACAAACTTATACTCACTTGCATGCTCTATACATCTAATAATGTGGTATCGATTGCTCAAAGTGTGTACGAATTGATGCTTTCGTTTGCAGGTGAGTTCGAAGCGGTCGTCATTATCACATCACTCAGTCAGTCAGTCATGTCAGTGGTACTCCTACTCCTAGCCCCACTAGTGTGGCCGTCGGTATGCTGCGCTGAACCCAAGGCCACACACCGTGGTCTGCGCACTACTGAGGACGTTTTCATAATTTCAACAGCGAATTTCTTACATATGGTTGTATTCTACGATGTCCCAACTTTCACTTCTGGGATGCTTGGGTGTAATGATGTTCAATTTTCCAAGATATTCTTGAATCTTTCTGGAGATTTTGGGTCAACTCGTACCCGAGTTAACTCGTACCCGAGTCAACTCGTACTCGAGTCAACTCGTACCCGAGTCAACTCGTATCCAGGTTAACTCGTACCCGAGTTAACTCGTACCCAGGTTAACTCGTACCCGAGTTAACTCGTACCCAGGTTAACTCGTACCCGAGTTAACTCGTACCCTGGTCAACTCGCACCCAGGTCAACTCGTACTCCCCCTCCTTTTTTATTTTGGAAGTACGGATGGATGGTTAACAAAACTTCCGATTTTACCCTCAAAAACGGCGACTGAGAAATAGTAGTTACGCCGCCAGAAATACAAATAAAGTTCAAGGATTAGTTGAAGGTGGTGGTATCAAATGTTGCCCCCAATCTGGATGAAAAGGGAAAATGTACCGTTCATCAGCAAGGGCTTCATCGCGAACGGACGGGTACCGCGCGGAGAACATTTTCAAAACGGCATCAGTGTGGTACTCGCGAGTCGACGGAGCCCTCGCTGATAAACGGTAAATTTCACTTTTCATCCAGATCGTCAGATGTGTTATTTTAAAATTTGTGTAGTATTTTCTCTTAGTAATGATGAGATTGTGGAGTGACTGTGCGAACTGCTACGTAATTTTTTTTGTTCGGTCGAACGTGTTTTAAGGGCATAGTTTTCTTTTTACGAATTTAGTATTTTAGACCTTTTTTCTTTAAAAGAAAGCTGCTATTAAAAAATGAATTTTGTAATGTAAAAGTAATATTTTTCAACGTTCACTCACTCCATTTTTGGCATCATTTATTGAATAATAACTGCACATGGCACAAATCTCTTTGGGAAGATTGGGGGCCCTGAAAGTACAAATCTGAAGAGAAAATATATTACAGGAAACTTAAAAGAGTCACACGGACATCGTTATTTAATTTATAATGATTCTTTAATATGTTGGTCATTTTTTGTACAATTAGTTCGGTAAATGTCGTTAAAAAAATCTTGTGCAGCTTAAATAAAGTTTCTGCGATAAGTTCATATTATTTTGGTAACAACAGAAATGTAGGATTTTTAATTATTTGTTTACATTTGAGGCATCAAGGAAGTAAACACGATAAAGGAAAATGGTGGCTCGTTTCATTCAGAGATGCTCTTTCTATAAGTTTTAGGGGACCAATTTGTTAGTTGATCCTTGGGTGTGAAATATTGTTTGACATTAGCAAATTGTAATTCAAGTGCAAGAGAAAGTTTTATTATCTTAAACAAAACTGAGCTAATCGGGTTTCGTCCTCGAAACTTGACATCCGATTCGATTCATCATGAACTGTGTGACAGCTAGACCATCCGATCGATCGGTTTGAGCAGCAGAAAATGGTTCATCGGAAAACCACAGAATCATCTGTAATATAAAAATAAAATAAATTGATAAAAGCATGCATACTTTGGGTAGAACATTTATTTGAAGTATGAAAATTAGCCCCGTATTAAATATGTACAAGTACAACTTACACCAAGGCCTAATGCCATTGAAAAACGGCGAAGGTTCCGACACTAACTACGCGACGGCAAAAACACCTTACACGCATAACCACTTTGACCGGCGAGTGTGCGCACAGGCTCGGCGAAAACGATATCACCGTGCACGGTACGACCACGTTGACCGATGAGCGCGCGCACAGGCCCGGCAAAAACGATGTCACCGTGCACGGACGACCACGTGGACCGGCGAGTGCGCGCACGGGCCCGGCAAAAACGATGTCACTCAGTGCACGGTATGACCACGTTGACCAGCGAGTGCGTGCACAGGCTCGGCACAAACGATGTCACCGTGCACGGACAACCGGCCATATCCCTCCGATCTTCCGTTCGTTTCACTGATTTTATTTTCGAAAATAGGCAACTATTTTGAGCTGCGGGTACGAGTTGACTCGGGTACGACTTGACTTGGGTACGAGTTGACTGGGGTACGACTTGACTCGGGTACGACCTAACTCGGGTACGACTTGACTTGGGTGTCAATTTTGGGGTACGAGTTGACTCGGGTACGAGTTAACTCGGGTACGAGTTGACCCATTTCCTTTCTGGAGCCCATATGCACTCGTGAAACGTCTGGTGATGGCAGCCATTTTGAATGTGACAAGAGATGACCTCAAGCTGTGACGTCGCGTTTATGCAAATTGCTTGTCGAGCGAGGGCGCGAGTTGCAAATGCGACGGCTGTTTCCTGTGCCGTAGATCCTGAATAGAGATCAGTGCACGTGGCCCCCAGACGATAAATGCATGGTACAGGAAACAGCCGTCGCATTTGCAACTCGCGCCCTCGCTCGACAAGCAATTTGCATAAACGCGACGTCACAGCTTGAGGTCATCTCTTGTCATAGCTGGAGTTACCCAGCCCTGAGTTTTATCATTGGGTTGTCATCTAGGGCTGGAGCGCATTTTTCTCGGAACTTGTAGTATTTGCAAAAAAAATTTGGAAAATGTTCAATTTTGTTCCCGTTACACACTAATTGCAACTGCAACTCACCCCAAACTTGCCTGGAATAACCATTACACAGGTCCTTGAAGAAAAAAACGATCCACGATGAAGATTCAGCCTACAATTGCAGTGAAAACAGGAGGAATAACCGCTAACTTGACAACCTTGCTGGATTGGCCAGGACCGCTATTGGTTTGTGCACAAACAAAATTGTGTACAATGAATGGCGGTCGATTAACAGGCACAGAGAGCGATCGCTGTCAACTACGCGTTTTGCCGGCTGCGCGGGCTGTTGGCGCATGACGTCACGCGGAAGCGTAACACCCGATGACTGTTTCATGCACTATTGGTTGCGGTTCCAGTACCAAAGCTGTGATGCGAGTGGTAAACCTTATACTAGTGCATGAAACAGTCATCGGGTGTTACACTTCCGCGTGACGTCATGCGCCAACAGCCAGCGCAGCCGGCAAAAACAAGTAGTTGACAGCGATCGCTCTCTGTGCCTGTTAATCGACCGCCATTCATTGTACACAATTTTTTTTGTGCACAAACCAATAGCGGTCCTGGCCAATCCAGCAAGGTTGTCAAGTTAGCGGTTATTCCTCCTGTTTTCACTGCAATTGTAGGCTGAATCTTCATCGTGGATCATTTTTTACTTCAAGGACCTATGTAATGGTTATTCCAGGCAAGTTTGGGGTGAGTTGCAGTTGCAATTAGTGTGTAACGGGGACAAAATTGAACATTTTCCAAATTTTTTTTGCAAATACTACAAGTTCCGAGAAAAATGCGCTCCAGCCCTAGATGACAACCCAATGATAAAACTCAGGGCTGGGTAACTCCAGCTACTCTTGTCACATTCAAAATGGCTGCCATCACCAGACGTTTCACGAGTGCATATGGGCTCCAGAAAGATTCAAGAATATCTTGGAAAATTGAACATCATTACACCCAAGCATCCCAGAAGTGAAAGTTGGGACATCGTAGAATACAACCATATGTAAGAAATTCGCTGTTGAAATTATGAAAACGTCCTCAGTAGTGCGCAGACCACGGTGTGTGGCCTTGGGTTCAGCGCAGCATACCGACGGCCACACTAGTGGGGCTATGGTACTCCTAGAACTATGAGGCTCCGCGTGAGCGGAGCCTCATAGATCAAGAAGCCCGCAAAATTGCCTGCAGCACAAAACACTAATAAAGTACAAAAACGTCCATCAAAATGCAGCCATTTCACACAGAACCGCTGCACAGTTTGCCCCTATACTCCGTACTTTATCTCTTGACATACTCACGTATCTTGTGCGGAACTAACATAGGTGGATTCTGTCGGTTTTTAGGCCAAAATGATGAAAAATATGCCCTTTCCGCATTGAGCCAACCTGACACTTGAAACGTGCACGCATTATGATCGAGCGATGATTTTCGGTTCGCTCAGAGCGCGCCGCGGGGGGTACGGTACATGTACATGCACTTGCGCATGCACATCATTTTGCTTGTACCGTACCCCCCGCGGCGCGCTCCGAGCGAACCGAAAATCATCGCTCGATCATATGCGTGCACGTTTCAAGTGTCAGGTTGGCTCAATGCGGAAAGGGCATATTTTTCATCAATTTGGCCTAAAAACCGACAGAATCCACCTATGTTAGTTCCGCACAAGATACGTGAGTATGTCAAGAGATAAAGTACGGAGTATAGGGGCAAAGTGTGCAGCGGTTCTGTGTGAAATGGCTGCATTTTGATGGACGTTTTTGTACTTTATTAGTGTTTTGTGCTGCAGGCAATTTTGCGGGCTTCTTGATCTATGAGGCTCCGCTCACGCGGAGCCTCATAGTTCTAGGAGTAGTCAGTGGCACATGCGCATACATGTACTTACGTGTCACTGTGTCAGTATACTGTGTGCTGTTGATGACCATGCCGTCTGCTGCACCATGGTTGCACTTGCACTTTTTACACTTACACTTACGATTTAATGGGAATAAGTATTAGGCTTTATAAGCCTTTAGGAGTAATTGCAGAATACCCCGCCACTCGGAAATACACCCCTAAAATCACTGGCTATGAGGTTGGAATCACCTCAAAAGAAACAATTCAAGTCCATTGCCAGCTACGCGGATACTGAGTGGGGGTCCATTATTTGAGAACGAAGCAACACAAAATGA